CAGCTAATTTTTGTATTTTTAGTAGAGATGGGGTTTCATCATATTGGTCAGGCTGGTCTCAAACTCCTGACCTCGTGTGATCTGCCCGCCTTGGCCTCCCAAAGTGCTGCGATTACAGACATGAGCCACTGTGCCCAACCGCGGCATTAACTTTGAATCTCACAAGCACCCAGTGGTCCCCAGTATACAGACAAGGAAACCGAAGAACTGAGTTCTAAGGAACACGCTCAAAATCACATCAGTAAGCTTTTGTGGTTCCGTAGGATGCTTACCAAAGCTTAAGACTCATGCTGGCATGCTCTTTATGTAAACACGATCAAACTCAACTTTTTTCTACCTCTGCCTTGTAAAAACAGAAAGATGCACACAGGTGGCCTTGCCTGGCAATAAATATTTTAATTTTTGCTTCATTTTTATGATGACAAATAATTTTCAAGTTTATTTCCTTGTTTGTTTAAATACAAAGCTAAACCACAAACAGGTACAATCAAGACATTGTATCTCACATTTACACTCCTGTCGGATCCTCATCCAATTCGCTGACCACTGACCAGGCTAGTGAGGGGGTGGGAGGGAAGACTTTCTTAGGTAGCACCGTCGTGAGGCCTGGGGCAGGGTTGGGGGGAATCAAAGATGAGGACAGGCTTTCATACCTGTCTCCATTCACATTTACCTGGGACCAGGGTGGGCAGGAGACACCAGGTCACGGCTCCTGAGCCCCAGCCTCCTGGACTGAAGGAACAGTGAGTGAGAATCAGTTCTGTGAAGGGAGGGAGGAGGCAGCCACTTATTCCTCCTACCCTCACAGTCAAGGTGAAAACCTTAGCCCTATCCTTGATTCCTGGGGGCTGCTGGGCCCTATGCGCTCCCCTGCACACCTGGGTGCCTTTCTGAAGCTGGCAGCAGTGGCTGGGGTCAGGGGTCCTGGGCTCCTAGGCTCACACCTCAGCTCACGGCTGCGGCCTTACAGGAGGGCCACCAGGTGTCTGTCAAACACAAGGCTTCAACAGCAGGTCTGGAACTTTCAACCCCAGTAGGATGCGGGGAAATGGGGGTGGATGTTAGGTAACTAATTTCTGGTCCCACTACAAAACTTTATTTTTGATTAGAGTACCATTCTCAATCTCTTCTACAAAAAGCCAAAAAAAAAAAAAAAAAAGCAGCCACTTCACTCACTTCAAGACCTATATACATTTAAGTTGTTTTCTGTGGTTTTTTTTAATCTTTTTTCTTTTTGATTTTTTTTTAAATTTTTATTATTTTTTTAAAATAAATTCAGTGTTCACATTTCTATAAAGAATTAACCCAGTTTCAGGAAACCCTGCCCCAGCAGGGCAGGTAAGCAACACTCTCCCTGCCCACATCTAGTTTGATTTCGTGCCCTGGTGCTCCAAGGTGCCCAGAAAGACGGCAGCTTGTGGAAGAGGAAATCCAGCCTGGCCTGTGCTCAGGGCCTGGGGCTCAGGAAGCTTTCAAGAAAGCAGAGGGGAAGACTAGCTTACTGCGAAACCTTTTAAAAAATATTCATACACTTCAATGAGCGCCTGTCGAGACGTTAGGAGAACAAGAGCTTGGAAACATCCCGTCCAGGCCATTGGGAGGCAGCGTCTTCCTCGCACCCCGTCCCTGGCCGTCGGGGTGCAGGGGGAAGGTCCCGGCTCTTCCACTGGAGAAAGGAGACTCGCCTGGCTTCCTAGTTCATGTTTGACTCTTTCCTCTAAAACCTGTGCTGAGTCTTGGACTGCATGCACGGGAAGCACAAACATTCGACTTGTATGCAAAAAAAGTAGAAAAACAACTAGAATATAAAAGTTTTGGTAATATAAGGCCATCTGTTCAAGTCCACCTTGGAAACCTGTAACAGATATTTAAATACTACAGTGAAAAGGCATCTTAATATACTTTTTAAAAACATCTGAAGTCATCTGCTAAGATTAAGTGTGTAAAAAAAAAAAATCAATTCCCTTTGAGGGCACTTTGTCCTTTGAAGAAGGGAAGGTGGGGTGGGAGGGCGCAGGGCCGGCCGGTTAATGCTTCAGCCATGGGTAGGCTTCAATGGAGGCCTTGCTGCGGTCCCCATAGTCATACAGGAGCTCCTCCCCAGCCGCGATGTCTCGGGAGGCGATGAGGATGAGGTGAGGTACACCGTCGATGTCGTGCAGTTTGGTTTGGCAGTTCCCACATTTGCTGTGATTGATCAGTCTTCCTAGGCGATTTGTCTCTCTAGTTGCATCCACGCTGGAGGGGAGGGATGGCCAGAGAGGGTTAAATTGATAAAGAGGCTTTTTAACCCAGAGATTCACACTTGCACTCGGCTCTGGTGGGATGTTCATTTAAAGCCATGTGTTTTGGAAAGATTCAATTCATAAAGCTATTTATTTTTCCTTTTTAGAGGGGGTCTCACTCTGTCACCCAGGCTGGAGTGCAGTGGCACAATCTCAGCTCACTGCAACCTCCACCTTCAGATTCAAGCGATTCTCCTGTCTCAGCTTCCTGAGTAGTTGGGACTACAGGTGCACACCACTACAACCAGCTAATTTTTGTACTTTTAGTAGAAACACGGTTTCCACATGTTGGTCAAGTTGGTCTCAAACTTCTGACCTCGGGTGATCCACCTGCCTCCGCCTCCCAAAGTGCTGGGACAATAGGTGTAAGCCACTGCGCCCAGCCAGCATTTTTTTTTTTTTTTTTTTGAGTTGGAGTCTTGCTCTTGTTGCCAGGCTGGAGTGCAGCGGCTCGATCTTGGCTCACCACAACCTCCACTTCCCGGGTTCAAGATTCTCCTGCCTCAGCCTACTGAGTAGCTGGGATTACAGGTACTTGCCACCATGCCCTGCTAATTTTTGTATTTTTAGTAGAAATGGGGTTTCACCATGTTGGTCAGGTGGGTCTCAAACTCCTGACCTAGTGATATGCCCTCCTCAGCCTCCCAAAGTGCTGGGATTATAGGCATGAGCCACTGCGTCTGGCTC